GGATGTACTCCTTCAAGAGGGCATTCAGCAAATGCCAGTGAGAGTCAGCTGTTCAATGACCCGCCTCAACAGTGGAACCAGTGTTAGACATCAGTGTTAGGCCTGCTCACTGAGGCCAAGCTGTTCATTTTAAAAGGGAGTTTAATAAACTAATAAAGAACAAAGTCAATGAGCATCTTGGGCAATTCTTCACATTAAAATTACTATTTTAAGTTGGGGCAGTACAAACTGTTATAATAAGTACACTTAAAATATAGTGTTCAAGTGCAATAAACACTTTTTCCTCTTTAAGCAAGTAAGGCTTCAAAGTGAATATTCCAGGTTAGTGGGGAGACCATATTCCATACAGTCATTCAGAGACCCAGGCTCTTCTACAGGTGAGTTCGAGGGAAGGTAGCTCTGGGCCATGGCTCTCCAATCAGAGAGCTGCAGGAAAAGGACACGGCGGGTAGGGGTGGGGGTGGGGGTGGTGTGTGAAGGTTTTGGGGACCAGGCCTGAAAGTAGCCCCTAACACCTTGGTTCACATTCCACTGGGAAGAAACGTCAAACGGTTACAGACACCCCTAACTGCAAAGTGGTTGAGAAATGAGTAGTAGCTAGGCAGCCATACGGCCCATTCCTACAGGAAAAAAAAGACTCTGTTGACACACCTGGCTACCTATTTGCCTTTAGTAAACTGAACAGGAGTTGATTTTCCTGCTGAGTGCTAGACCAAATCATCTGGTGACTGATTCAAAAAAACCACAGATTTTTTAACTTTTTTATTTCTTCCTAGAAAATGTCCCATTGACATACAAGTTAACTGCTCTCAGTAGTTTTCATACCAACACATCACACCGGGCTTTGTAACTAATAGCCTCCCTGTGATTGTCTCACAGTGGCCCACATGAAAGGCTATGGGAAAAGTTGGGATGCTGGGGGTAAAAGGAAACGTTTCGTTTTGAAGTGGAACTGGATTCTGCCAGAGGAGAAAAGGGAAAAAGTATTTCAGAGCAATAATTTAGTCACTTGTCCAGGAGTTTCTTGGGGGAAGAATATTTGTTTTAATGGTGTTGTAGCCCAAGCAGCTATGACAGCATCTAGCACAAGAGCCATCAAAAAATGTTTGCTTAACCGAAGACGAGAAAATATGCACAAGGACAACTGACAGTGGGTTGTCACCAAATTTCAACTCTGAGCTGTTCATAAGCCAAAATAAAGCCATAGAGGTGCCCAGGGGCTGGTCAAGGGCTATAGAAAAGCTGGGAGTGGGGCTGGGGAAGGAGTCTGCTTAGAAGGTGAGCTGGGGTCAATGTATGAAAGGTCTTATACACCGTAGCTAGGATTTAAAGTTGAGCCATCAAAGGTTTTTTAACAGGAAAGTGACCGATTCTGATCTATTTTAGAAAAATAATGCTGGTCATAGTGAAACAATGAATTGGGTAAGAGACAGACAAGGGACAAGAAGACACTACTTCAAGAGACAGATGAGGTGTGAACCTGGCTGTGGCAATGGGATAAGAGGGCAGGCACAAACAGCCTGAGAAAATTCAGGTGCAAAATCAACAGGAATGGTGATTACTGATGACTAAACAAGAAAGGGAGTACCAGAACTGGAACAGTTTTGGGATGTGGGTGGAAAAAACCAGAGAATCAGCTTGTTCTAGGACATGCTGAGTGAAGTGCACGTACCATTTCTGGGTCGTTCAGTTAGAATTAGAAACAAAAGGAGTGCCAGCTGCAGGGGCCCTACTAAGCTATGGCATTGAACACATCCTGTTAAGTATCCCCTTATGAATCTTCTGCCTGTCCCTCTGATAATCAGGACCAGGATCATTGTATTCATTTTCACATCACCTATGCAAAATACACAACTAAGTATTTAAAAAATGTTTGACAACCGACAGGGTGTTGTTACTAAATTTCTACTCTGAGCTGTAGGATAGTCAACATAAAGCCATATGCAGAAACATAAAACAACTATCAAAACGAGGACAAGATTCTCATAGAGATATTAGGTGTTACGTTCAAACTTGATTTAAGAAAAAAAAGTTAAAATTGTTAAAAGCCAAAACCAACCATGGAACCCAGCAAAGATGTATGAAAGAGAAAATAATTGTAGAAGAAATCTGAGAATGAATTCTAACAGTTGTGAATTGCTTCGCCTTATTCTTTAAAATGTATTCTCAAAAATTCTATAATTAAAAAAAAGCAATTCTAATAAGCTGCATGTAACATGGGTTATATTTTCTTGTGTTCATGAATATCAATCATCATATGGGAGGATACAGAATTCAGAATATAGAATTCAGATCCTTGACATTAAACAGAATAGGAATGGAAAATGAACTTGCAATTCTGCAATAGTAAGACTGTATTTGATAAGCTGTCTATATTTCAATCTATAATTTTGATTTTCTTGTATGTTTTATCTTGATAACATACCTCAAGTAACATGAAACATCTTTATTAAAAGACACTCCACCCTTATCAGATTTCTTTAAAAAAAACCCACAAATGTACAAAAATATTGAGATAATTCAGTAAATACAATATGTGGGCAAACCCTCTTTTCTATTAAAAGAAAATACCAACTAAAGTACCTCTGTGCCATTTTAGGTCAAATCTGAAACCTCTTAAGATTGTTTCAGTCTCTTATTATCCATTAGTTTAAGAAATGCCTCATGGAAAAGATAAATTCTGGTAACTGGATATTTCTGGAATATTGAAATTATTCAATTCATGGAGAAACTGTACCCCTCTTTGAAGACTAATGGTTTTTTTGGCAGGACATCGTATTATTCAATGTGTTAATTGAACAGCATCTTAAAAAATAGTGAGTTCTAAATTATCCTATTACACAAGTCCAATTACTGCAGATTCCAAGAGTGGGAGGGAAAGAGAAGGCATTTTGCAATGACATTTGCTTCTCATTCTCTCTGAAAAACACCAGTGCCACACATCTACTGTAATGCTGGTTATAAATTACTTCCTATCACACCAAATCTAAATGACTAAAACCCCTCAAATGTGTACAAGTATCAAATCACTTCTTTTTTCTAAGAATCTTTAAAAAACAGTGCCATTGCCTTTATTCTGAGAAATGACTCTTGCTTTCTTTCTACAGGGACACTGTGAAAATAAATCATAAATGTTCCACAGATATTTAACTTTTATAAAATGTTACCATAATTAAGGACTACTTCTTTCTCGATATCTTAAAAAACAGATTATATATACACAGTAACTATCTTATCATTAGTGTCAATAGTGGAATTAAGAAAAAAGATACAAAAGTTGCATGGACATCTATTAAGATACGTTGTACATGAATTGGTCTTGCATCAGAAAGCAAAGGAAGATTAAATTGAAATTTTTAAGCATTTCTCCTCATAAATAAGCCAAGCGATTTGACATTTATCCACATTTTTTTCTAGGCTATTTTAGGATATCTTAATACTTACTAGATTTATTTTGCTAATTCAATATGGAGTCACAAAGTCTATATACTCTTTTCATGCAAACGTCAAAGAGCAACTGAGCTCTTTCTCTAGACAGCTGAGATCATAAGCAACCCACAAGCTTCAGCATGTAAGCAGGGAAAAGGGGGAAAATCACGTTGACGTACAGTGAGTCTAAGTTTTGAATTTCAGGCATAAATGATTTAAACCTTTGTACTTAAATCTGGAAAAATTAAATCCTTCACAAGAAGTTCATAACCATTGAATGGGCCTCTATCGAGGCTTGCATCACATCTGGCAATCATGAAGACAAATTAACAATAAGATTTTGAAAATCTGGCGCTTTGATAAAGCCAAAGCATATGAAATCATTTCTTGGCACTTCGTCACTGGTGGTCCAAGGACGGATCAACTTCCTGTCTCGGACTCTGCTGTCTCAACTGGAGGAAAATCTTACTGCAATCTGGGTTCCAGGCTCCTGGCTCACAAAAAACAAAGCTGTAAACTCAAGAAGTGGAACCTTCCCCCAGCATATTGAATCCTCTGAGAAGGGTCTGATTCTCTAAGAGCTGCTTTGAATTTAGTTCAAAGACCTGATCATGGCATAAATTCCCACCTTCACCAGGTTAGGAGATTTTAAAGTTTAATGTGCTGTCTTAACTCCTTTTATGCCAATTTATCTCGGGCAAGAGAGTTTTTCTTTAAAGTACACATGTGAACAGGATTTACTAAAGAAAAAAGTCCAGTTTCATCATCTGAATTATTAAGCTTAAGTTTGCTTCATTTTATTACTTCACACTGTCACTTAGTTTTGAAAATATGATGATATTCATTTTTGTGTATGTATGTCAGCCATGTAATGGCATTTTCACCTAAATACTATTTAAAGCAAATATTTTAAATAGTTTTGTGTTTGAGTAACAGATTTGATACTCAGTTTTAAAGAAGTAGAACTATGATGACCAAATTGGAAAAATATTTTAATTCTTAATGAATGTTTCAGAACAGTTTAGAAGCTTCTTTTCTGAAAGAACTGCTCATCGGCAGAAAATCAAGGACAGTCTATCAGCATCCCATTACACCTGAAGAACGGAGGAAAATTCACCTCTGCTGCAGCCATTCTAACTACAGAAATGGGCAATAAAACACTTTTGTTATAATTAAAGGGGTGGTGAAAGGGAAACGATTTGGAAAAAGCACAATGCATGAGACCACGAGGTGTTATCGTAATTAAGGGAACATGGCTTGAGCAGTGACGTAAGCAATGGAGTTGTACCATATTACACCAGACGACAACAACAAATCTTTTTTTGTTCGTAGAGTTAGAAATAAATTAACGTATCTTAAATCTCTGTAGCTCCTTCTCGATTACTATGTGCTTTCAGACACTATCTGATTTGAATCTGCATTACGACAACCCTGGGAGGTAGGCGGAATGCTCCTGTTTTTACATATATTTTAATGCACTGAGTATAATTTTGATCAATTGAGACGTGATAATATGAAATGAACCTAGAATGTGTTGAAAACAATAAAAATTGTTATTGTATAGATGGGGCTTGGGGTCAAAATGACATATTTTATTAAATGTAATGTGCAAAATAAAATGAAGTGATCTCTATTCAAAAAAGGTACAAGACAGGTATTATTTAAAATGCTTTAGTACTCGTTTTCAATAAAAAGAAATCTGGCATTATAAAAATACATAAAATAGTCATGAATTTATACTATTAATTTACATAAGATTTTTTTTTGCATAAAACAAAGTTATAAAATAGTTTAAAAAGGTATTCTTATATGAAAGTTACTCCCAGTATAAAATTTTTTATAACTTTTTGTAATTTTGGTCCATCTGTATAAATAAGACATTTCCTCCTTTTAAAATTCATAACTCCATTTAAAAACATAGGATTCTCTCTTTTAAATATAAGTCCACTTGAGGTAGCATGTTAGAACTCTCTTTGGTCCCATTCAGTCTATGTGTCTAAGTCGTAAGACTGAAAATTTGGAGTCCTGTGGTGTTCTAAGGTCTGTTTATAGGTACACGTGTGATTTTCTTGCTGAAAATCTGTCCTTTCTTTCCCATCTTTCTCTGACTCAGAGTCCAAGTCCAGGGAAGAACGAGCTTTCAAGTGAAAGGCTCTCGGCTGACAATCCGATAGGTGACCAACACTTGAAAAGGCATCCAGGTGAGGTCTCCCCAGAGGCTTTCCAAATGTTCCTGAAAGAAAGAAACCCCTTGAGCAGACGGGTCCTTTTGCTGGCATGTAAACCAATCAAACACATTTCAAACGAAGGAGCATCTTACCCCATGAACATGAATCAGCATTTTCTACAAGTGCACACTACGGTACTCAGGTATATGTATAACTGTGTTATGGAGAGAGTACTCACAGAAAGGAGCTGAAGATATTTGCACCCCTCTTATTTGTTACCTACTGAATACAAGCTCCATTCTTTATCACTTCTCATGACCTAAAATAATATTAATCATTGAGCAACGACGTCCCCCAATATAAGCTCTCCCAAATCCTGGCTTTAGTATTTGAGATCCCTCAGTGCTCCATGAAGGGCGTTTGGATAGTAACGTATGAGTAACTTGTGCTGGAATACAGAAAGTTTCCGCCCAAATATCCTTATGTCTTGCCCTTTCTTTAGTAGCAAAATATTCAATTGACTCAAATTCTTGCCTCAGTTATATAAAAGGTATTTCCACTTTTCAAGAAGGAATAACAGTAATTATACTACGACAAAACATAAAATTTCTTAAAAGCTGAGTAAAATATTTTAAAATTCTATTTTTTTATAAAAGCAAGACCAGTTGTGTTCATTTTCTCATATCTTAAAGGATCTCCACCCCACTGTCCTCACGCGCTAGACTAAAAAACCCATGAAGGAATCTTAGTGCCAGCGAGTGTCTTCCACTGACGGTGTCCTTTCCGAACGAGGTTCAGCCTGGCTAATGAGCAGCGCTGGCCAGGTAGGACACCGTCCAGCCTCTGACGGCAGGTTCAGTTATGAGCCACCAGACATCCTAAACCACAATTACACAGTGCACACAACTCCAGCCCAAAGCCTGTTCTAGCCCCAAACCACTTTTTCCACACAGCTCGCAGACTGAGCTTCTAAGTCACCCCGAAACTCTCCTGGGTGATGCCACACACAGGGGTACCCAGAAAGCTCCCGAGGCTTATATGGATTAAATCCATAAGCCAGTAGAATCCCCCATGTCTGACTCTGCTTTTAGAAACATGTGTACAAACTAAGAGGATGTCATGACAGCATCATTCAAAACTAATGAACAAAAAACATTTTTTACCAGTTTGGTATTCCAAGCTCTCATCGCTCTCCCACAAGCAACTCAGAATACGAGTCCTGAGTATCTAATAATTTCCTAAACTTACCCAGGAAAGAATTACTCGAAGTAAGTGATGCTGGCTCTGGACCTGGACTGAAATCTACAGAGGACTTGTTCAGACGCATGTTTCTCACTCCGGGTCCTTCACCTTGAGAGCAGGTGGAGCTGACGAACTTCCTCACGTGGAAAGGCCATCCTGCGTCACCGACACCCTGCTCGCAGGACTCTTCTGACGGATGAGGACATGGGTAGCACTCCTTTTTCTTTATGTAACTGGGCTCATAGTGGTCCATTAAAGCTGTTCTCAGGTCAGCACCACAACCTTTTACATTTGGGGACAGCATCAGAAAGAGAGAGAGTTAGAGCTTCTAGGAGTCTGTCCAGGAAACAGAACTCAGAGAAGAGAGCCACATACCTGTAGGATAGGCTTCAAAAGGACCTGAGCCGTGTCCGCTCCCCTTCAAATACACAGGGCCCGAGGATCCCAGAAAGGGACACAGGAACGGGTCCGTGGCAACCTCCACATCAGCTTCACTGCTGTTGTCAACATGGCATGTCCCTTTAAAACAGACACCTCAGTCACTGAGCCCATTTTATTCAAGTACCATTCCATGTTCTCTCCACTTTTGGTATTTTCCATATTTACAGATGAAAATTTTGGATAGAATAACACATAAAAGAAAAAACTGCAGAAATTTATATTAGGGTTTTAAAAAAAATTGTTGAGGCCTATAGATTAGTAATTGAAGAAATTCGAGACCTCTAATAGACTTGAATAACCATTGTACTGGATGTGTGAACCCGGCTGCCGGCCCAAACTGGTTTCCAAGAGAAAATGATCTGTGTGCAAATACTACAGACAAAGCAGCCATGGTTTAAACCACATGATGCCATCAGCACTGCTCCCTTCCTCCACAATGTCACAGATGACCAGGACCAGGGATTGGCACTTAACCAAAAACCTCCTAATGCTCAGCTCATAGAGAAGCTCAGCCAAAAGAAAAACGTCCTATTGTGAGTATCCGAGCTGAACAACCGAGAAATGATAGGCCAGTTAGCAGTGGACACAGCAGGTGAAAGACAAGAGATACTGTAAGGGTTAGAGATGCCATGAGGAGCCATGTGCCTCGCAAGCAGAAATTGGGCAGTCGAGGGGGTGGGGGGGGTCTCCGAGGGAAAGAAAGGTCCCAAATGAGACTTGGAGTGCTGCAGTCTCTAGAGCTGCTCCAAATGCTGACCATCTCCAGCCCAGCATCCGGGCGACACGGCGCTATTATACTCCTGCTCTGTCCCTTTAGACTTTTGTAAAGGTCTTTTCAGTAAACCCTGCTACATCTGAACGAGCCTGGTTCTCTGCTCTTTGCAACCTAATGAATCTAACCGGAAGACCCACTTTTATGCTCAGATCTTCCCTTCTATCTCCACACCCCCCATCACTGCCTTACTAAGCACTTTGAAATCATTTGTTGAAATTTTTTGTCTCACCACTGATGAAACTGTGAAACAGAAAACAAATATTCTTCCCGCCCAACTGTGGAGTCTGCCACACAGCAGACACTCAAGACATGCTTGTGGGAAAAGATGGCAACATGTTTGAAAATAACGTCAATAGCTTCCACCTGTTGAGCCCGCAATGCGTGCCAAACACCAGGTAGTTCTCCATTATCATTTTATTTTTTACAACACCTAATAGGGAAGGACTGCAATTGCCCGATGGATGCGCAGGGAGTGAGTGTCAGAAGTGCTCTTGAACCAGGCCTGTGCTCCTGAATTGTGTCGCCTCTATTATTACTATTCTTAAAACCATACAGTTCTGAAAGCAAGAGTCAGAATTAGATTTCTCTAATAGAATGGTTTTAAATTACTTGACTTCTAAGACTATGCATGAAACCAGTTAATGTCCTTTAAGTAGAGATTGTTCAGGGACAAAGAACATTCACAGGGTAATGGAAATACTACATTGCATGGAGGAATTAAATTTTACTTAACCTACTTGTCTTCTTTTAGTGTCAGAAACAAAGATTTTTCTAGTATTTAAGAGACGTGCAAAAAACTATTTAATTTCAGCTTGGCTACTGATCTTGGGCCAGGTCCTATATATCAGTGTATCAATTTCTTGTGAAAACTAATATTATATTTGAGCCTCCCCTCGGATTATTTCAAAACAATACACCCATCTTCATTTTAAACACTTACCATTACTGTCATGTTGTGGCAAGAAAAATCCGCCTCCTGAAGAAGTGACGAACTGGTGGTGGCTTCCACTTTCGGAGGAGACGTACCCATCCTGTCTGTCAGCTAATGTCCCCTGCGATGATAAATAACTGGGGATATCTGCCGGCAAGTTGGTCTCATCTATAATCAAACAACAGCATTCTGTTAACAAGAAGGATCGTCAACGCCCCACAGCTTCCCTGATGAACGGTATATACTGTTTTGGTTTCCATATAAATCAAATAAATCCATTCCTGCAAAGCCAACTTGATGGGGCAGGATGCAGGTAAGGTGAACCAGGGCTCTGCTGCTCTGGGAAGCATGAGCTGGTTTTCTATTTTATTGCCTGTGAGATGCTCCTCCCGAATTTCAAAAATAACAAATGTTTAAAAAGATAAAGGCTTAGGAATTTTCCTGGCATAGTATATAAGCTCTTGACTTAAGCTTGATTTCGGCCCTGTGCCGACTTAGCATCATTCATCGATATAGGTGTTTGCACATATTAGTCAAGCCATAGCCCCTCTCCCACTAATACTAGCATCCTCTCTACATGCCTGCACACATCTATGCACACACAACAAAACAAAAACTATGGCAGAGGGTGCATCTCATGCCTGAGGGATGGCTCCTGGCTCTCCATCACCATCCTGTGAAGGAGTGTTTTACTCTGATTTGGACTATATCTTACAGCCAACAGGATACTCTCATGAGGTTTTAACAAAAAGTATTAACTTTTAAACGTTAGCTTTATTCTGGGCTGGGCTGTTATTTTTAGCTAACCATATTTCTGCAGCTTGAAACAAATGAGTCACGCTTCTGACATGGCCTCAGACTGTGAGACACACATTCTAGAAGAAAATTACCACGAGACCACAAACACACGACTAGCGCACTCGTGCCAAGCTTCTGTTGACACACCTGTGTTGGTAATGCTGCAATCCTCGTTCCTCCGCCTAGTGTGGTAGATGATGACCACCCACACAAGCGAGGTGCCCACCACACAGCAAACCACCGCTATGATCACCACGCCCACAGTGGCCCATCCGTCATCATCTAACGCCGAGGCGGTCATCGGAGGGGAGTCGCAGGTGGGGGTGGGGATCACACTGAGGCGCACGCTGCCTCTCTCGGTGCCGAGCGTATTAGACATTTCACACGTGTATTTCCCAGCATCACTGACATCAGAGTCCACAATGATCAGCAGCTGATTGCCTGCTGCAAAAAAGTGCCTTTCAGTGACCACCAAAGGGCTGTCATCCTTGGTCCAGTTCAGTCTGGGAGGAGGGCTACCCCCCGCGATGCACTGCAGGACAGCCGTTTCTCCCTTGGTTACGGTGCGGTCTAGGAGGGGCCGCAAAAACGAAGGTGTTTCTGAAACGACAAGTTACATTTTGTCTTTTTTTGAGAAGATTAGCCCTGAGCTAACATCTGCTGCCAATCCTCCTCTTTTTGCTGAGGAAGACTGGCCCTGAACTAACATCCATGCCCATCTTGCTCTACTTGATATGTGGGATGCCCGACACAGCATGGCTTACCAAGCAGTGCCATGTCCACAGCTGGGATTCGAACCAGTGAACCCCAGGCCGCCAAAGTGGAACGTGCGAACTTAACTGCTGTGCCAGCAGGCCGGCCCACGACAAATTACATTTTTAATCTCCTAAATGAAATTAGGTTTTGCATATCACCAAATCTAGCCCCTGACCTTATTCAAACTGGAACTTAAAATTGTATTCTCCCACAATTTATGCACAGGCTTCTTTAAGAGCCTAAACAGGTACTCAACATTTGGGATTTCATTTCATTACCTGGCTGTCATTTACTTATAGTGCCCCTTAAGGATAATATTTACTATTTTTTATCTCAGTCTCCCTCACTCTTGACAAGGCTGGGGGTATGGAGAAAGGATGGCAAAGCAAAACATTTCAATTTTTAGAAATAGAAAATGCACAAAAATAATTTCAAGCACAAAGGTGGGTTGATGGATGAAAAAAAATCAGAACGTCTAAATTTTCAAGGGGAAACTTTCTAGTGTTAGATGACCAGGCCTATATTAAAACCCTGAAAATAATTCACTTTTATTATTTGGTATTCATAGGTTACTCTGATTAACTCTTTCAAAGATACATGTCTGATTAACACGTTCATGTTTTTTAAAAGCATCTGTTTAGGTAAAAGATAAAAGACGAACTCTGATTTTCAGAGTGGCATGGTAGACAAAAAAAGAGAGCAGCTCCCTCCTGCTTTGTTCATATGCTTATTTTCTTCCATATTCTTTATAGTGTCAGGACTATGGGGTAGAGACTGCACAAGGGGAAACACAGAGGACAGTGATTCCCGCAAAGGGAACCCTCAGAGCATCACCTCCCCTCTCTGCCGATGGGGCAGAGCAGAGTCATCTGACTGGACACAGGAAGACGTAATGCCCTCCCGACTCAAAGCTTCTGAGAAGCCATTTGTTTTCTCCAGGAAACGGCAGTGTCCTACGAATCATCTCTCCCCATCACAGGGTGTGAAACTTAGGGTTCTCGGGTGAGCTAGGATCTTTAAGACAGATTTAGATCACCGAATCTGAAATTATCCACGTACCCAGGACAGTCAGGGTTGCATTTGCAGAAATGCTTCCCGCGCTATTTTGAGCTGTGCAGCTATACACCCCGATGTCCTCTATCTTCACATCCACGATGAAGAACACGTCATCCTCAGGCATAACGTGCATGCGTCTCTCGCGAGCCGCAGGGAAGTCTGTGCCCCCGTCCTTCTGCCAGGCTATCTGTGGGGCTGGGTGTCCCAGGGCAGCGCACTCCAAGCGTGCCATGGCCCCCGCACGGATGGTAAGGTCCATGGGGGTCTTGGTGAACGAAGGCAGCACTGAAATCCGAAAACAATGTGGGTGTCAGCTATGGAGTTTCGGAGGTTCATTTTCATTCCTCTTTTTGATACTTACAAATGTCGCCGACACAGGTAAGGCAGGGGTCATTTCCGATCCCAAGACAAGGAATCTCACGTTGAGATGGAGAGATCAAGTGACTCCCTCAAGGTTACCCAGGTCCAGAAACGATGGAGTCGGGATGAAACCCAGGTCACCGGATCTGCAGACTGATGGGCTCTCTGCTATTTTCCAGCCACTTTTTAGCTTCCTTGATAATTATCTCTTAGACCCTGGGCAAATCAATTCATCTCTTTGCACCTTGACCATTCACTCCATCTTTTCTGTTTTAAAGTCCCTCCTGGCTCTATCATTCTGTGACTTTAGATATGGGTGCTGTCCTACAATTTTAAATTCAAAATTGTTCTCAGTGTCAGGCCTCAGCATCATTTGCTGAATGAATGCACCAACGAATCACATACAAAATCCTCCACCATGGAAGACACAAATGATTAAGCGATAAAGTGGCAAGGATCCTACTGTGTGGCCTACCTGCCACACAAAGCAAACGATGACATACTTTTATTAACAGTAGCTAACACTTAATGCATTTACTGAGCACTTACTATATGCCAGGCGAATGCCTGAATTCTGCTAAGTCCTTTACACAATTTATTTTACTTAATTATTATCGTACTTTTATACGGTAGGTGCTACTATTCCTAATCCTAACTGAATGTTGTGGAAATGGAGGCACAGAGAGGTTAAGTAACTTGCTGAGAGTCACAGAGCCTTGAGTGGAGTGGCAGAATTCAAACCCAGATGTCTGCATGGAGGCGGTGTGCTTTTGACACCATACTTCATGGCTTCCCACATCAGACCAGTACAGTGTGAACTCCCAGAGCTGAAAATATCTGGTTCATCTCTGGTTACGCACCACACTATCGATGGTGTCTTCAACACAGTAACTGCTTGCTTAGACACAAACAACCAAGAATCTTCATTTTGTGGAGTGTGAGGTAGGGAAAGGAAAGGTTAGGTAGAGAATGATGAGAGCAGAGGACGGGGTGAGGAGGAAGAGGAAGAGAGGAAACCAGCCTTCTGTTTCCTAAAGGTGTCTTTAAATGCAAAAGGAGAAGTCAGACCACGTACTATTTACTGTAAGCTTGGCTTTGACAGAGTAGGACGAACCGAAGTGATTGGAGATGACACACTGGTATTTCCCTTCACTGGTGAATTCCACGTTGCGTAGCCGCAGAATGGTGGTGTACTCCATCACCTCGCCGCCTTGGGCCCGGAGGTGTGCGTAGTTCTCCATTTCAGCATCATGCAGGAGCTCATTGTCTTTTTTCCAAGCAAACGTCATCGGGGAGTCACTGCTGCTGGCAGCCGAGCAGATAAAACTCAAGTTGGAACCTTTTATTGCCGACTGTGTTTCTGGCTGAACCGTGATCTGGGGTTTAGGAAAATCATCTGTTCAAAATGGAGAGGAGGAAAGAAAACGACTTGAAGTCTTGAAAGTCCAAATGCTGCCCAGATTTGAACACCAAGAAACTCCAAACAAACAGCGGCTCAGGGTTTACCCTTGGGTATGTTTCACAGATGGGCCCACGGTCCCAACATTGAGATGATGGCCCCAGAGAGTGTTTATAAAGTAATCCATTCATTTCAAATAGACTGAGACCTACTTATCAATCGTTACCTGAGAGGGGACTATTGTTTTGGAATATAGTTTATTCCAGACCCCTTGTGCTTTTTTTTATATAAATACATGAGAAACCAGAAATTTCCACAAATAAGGAGCAGCAAAATTAAGAAAGAAACATCAGTAATGATAATCAATTATCATTAGGACAGCAATGAACACCCCCATTTCCCAAAAGCAGAAGCCATATTAAAGAGCAGTAATTTTTAGGTAGAGCAAAAAAAATAACCCTGTAGTGAAAGAAAAACCATCTCCGAAACTCACAGTGAGCCCCTGGCTTCAGCCCGGAATTCAGAGCGGACAATCAATCAGGCCGCTGGGCTGCACTGTCAGAGCTGCAGTGTAATTAGAGCTTAGCAACTCTTTCATTCCAAACAGTTATTTTTGGTTCTCTGTTACTTTTTGGAAAAGTTACCTTTTTGAACTTCAGTTTCTCAGAGATGATCTAAAACCAGAAGGAAACATCGCAGATCTACAGCAGTGTACCACTTGGGTGCTCTGAAAAAGTGACGTGTGTGTGAACGGGCGTGGCGGATGCTCTGATAACTGCGACGCCAAGCCTGCATGTTACCAGCAACACAGCTGCTGCTTCTGTACGATTATTCTAAAATTCTCACCTGGTAAATCGACGTTCAGATTCACAACGGAGGGACTGAAAAGTCTATAGGTACTATACAAATGTCTCAAAGTTATAGAGTTCATATTTTGGGACCAGAAAACTAAAAGAAGGACCCTGGGAAAGACACAGCTCAGGCCCTTATAGATGGATGCCAAAAGCTTATTTAGATCCAAAAGCTACACCAGATGTTTTGTTTCCAGAAACCGTTGGCACTGTTTAATACTGCAATCTAAAAAAATATATTTTTCTTGTACTTACCAATTGTAGGCAAAACAGACAAACAAATTTTTTAAAGGCCAATGTAAAATTAGGTTCTGTAATATTTTAACACATATGCTTAAATTCAAGCATATTTTGATTTCACGTCCTAGATGCACATTTGTTTGTACAGCCGTCTCCACGGCAGTGACCAGGAAGCAGCAGGGTATGTACGAGACAGGAGGCTGCACCGGGAGGTGAGCGCTGGGGTTCAGTCCATGTCTGTTCACCAGCTGGGTGCAGGCTGGGTGAGCAGGTCTGAAATGCTGAGAGGCTTGGATGCTAAGATGATGGACCTTATATATATTTATAATAAACTCAAACTCTTTATTACTTGTAATGCTTTACCCACCCATAGTAAAATTTTTAGCAGCCTATAAATCACCGGCTAGTAATTGTCTCTTTCTACTCCACATAAACAGCATGTGCACAGGGCTTTGTGAGGTCTCTTCACTGAGCTCACACGAGTCTCTCAACAACCTTCGGAGCTGGGAAGAGTGGAGAGCAGAGCTCCCATTTCACAGGAGCAGAGGCGGAGATTTCAGGGATTTAAGTAGAAGGGCTGGACTGTCCTTCAATCCTCCCAAGACCCAAAATCATTCTCTTTCCAGCAAACCACCCTGATGCCAGAACAAAGACGAAAAACTCTTAGAAAACTCTCTTTCTCATCTGTAAAATTAAAACAGTCAGCCAACTACAGATCCATTTTCATCTACCTCTGCAGAAATAAAAGCTTTATTAAGAGAATATAAATTTATTCAAAACCATTATTTGTACAAATGGGAGAAAAAAAAAAAAGAGGCCTTAATAAAAGGCAAAGGCAATAGTTATACTTACCACACACAAAGCCATCTGGGCTAACGGCAAAAATACTCCTTCCCTTCAGCAGCTGAGGATGGGCACAACTGGCACTCACAAAGCTCTGAAAGTTGTTTTCCGCCACCCACTGTGGGAGCCATTTTAGTTGGCAGTCGCACAAAAGGCTTGATGTATTTAAATGCCTGGGGAGAGTAATTACATTCAATTTGTTTTGTATGAAATGCAGATTTCTACAAGTAAACTAAAGTCAAGTAAATATTAACAAAGCAATGAATGTGGAAACCAAATACATACATCCCATGTAATAAATACGCTAGAGTCCATCTTAAAATGCAAGAAATGCAACTCGCACGGCTTGTTGCTGTGGTTCTTACCGACCTACTGAGCTGGAAGTGCTGACATAGCAAAAATACCTGTCTACTGAAAACGCGTCGCTAGGATTAGGCACCGCGCTATACTAGGTCCCACAAATTCAAATTGCAAATTCATAACAGAAAGAAAAAGGAACTCCTCTTTTCAGCAAAGAGAGCAAATAACCAACTCCTTTTGCTTTCTGGCATAAAGATTAAGTAATGTTAAGAATATGTTAGACCCTTGTCGTAGATAATCTAGGATGACACACCCCATGATGGTTTCCCCCTCCATGCTTTATTTCAAACTCTTGGAAGGAAAAAAAGAGCTTACAATTGTTGAAGTTTCTTCATTTGTGAAAATGCATTGCCTTGTAATGACATGATTGCATTGTCACTCAGGTCTCTGAAAAACAACCAAATCAAATACATTAGAGCAAATTATGGTCATTGCGTGCCTTCAGGCAAAGCCTGGGCCCACACTGCCAAACCCATTCACCAAATACTCCATGTGCTGAAACACACAAATGGTGTGACTCTGCAAGAACCCATAAGGAAGCCTGGATTGACTGAAGAACAAGGATATCTGTACCCGAGGCTGGCTCTGCTACAGTGAGATGGATTCCCTTCTCATCACCATGGACAGGTTATTTGATGCATAAGGGCCTAAGGTGTTCTGCTGTATTATTTTATTGTATTTCTCATTATTCAAAATAGTAACCATTACTAACTTCTAAACATGCAAATAAAATTCCTCGTAATTATGCTTTTAAAAAACCATCATGTATAAATACCTTTTATGATATGCACTATGCTAAGTGATTCATATTTACATACATATTATTAAATTTAGTCCTCACAGCAACCCAAAAGAAGATGGTATTACTACCTTGCTTGACATGAAAGGAGCAACTAAGATTTGAACTCAATTACTTTCAATTTCAAAACTCATGGGGCCAGCCCAATGGCGTGGCGGTTAAGTTAGCACATTCCACTTTGGTGGCCGGCCTGGGGTTCGCCAGTTCGGATCCCGGGTGCAGACATGGCACCACTTGTCAAGCCATGCTGTGGCAGGCGTCCCACATATAAAGTAGAGGAAGATGGGCATGGATGTTAGCTCAGGGCCAGTCTTCCTCAGCAAAAAGAGGAGGATGGGCAGCAGATATTAGCTCAAGGCTAATCTTCCTCAAAAAAAAAAAAAAAGAAAACCAAAAAACATGCCCTCAGTCACTACTCTATTCTGCCACACACAGGAGAGGCAGTAAGGTGTTCAGACAAGATGTACTTGTTAAAACAAACAAACACTTCAGGCAGGACATTTATAAAATGAGAGAATACTCTGGGCCAATTTTATTTTTAACTAGGAGTTACAAGCAGTGTGAATGAAAGGACTCTCCACATGATTCCTGCTCTGCTCTTCCTTACCGGGGTCAGAGCACAGAAAGGGATTTTGAGTGAGACAAGTAGCAGAAGACAGAATGAGGTACCAAACGTGGGCAGGGAAAGAGGCTGCCAGAGTCGAGAAGGTTTAGAAAATTGAAGCAGAGGTTAATTCTCCACTGATACACTAATTCCACTTTCCCAGAAATGGAATGGGTCAGATGACAAACCCTTTTGGCTCGTTTCCCTTTGAAAATAATTTGTTTCAGAAAGTCCAGCAATACAGGTCCGCCCTGCCAGTTGCCGCTTTGCAGAGTCATCTCCCCAGCACCTGAACGGCGCACTGTCCGTATGTCTACAATCCCAGCCTCCCTCACACTGACAGGCACGGCAGAACACGACACAAGGGAGCCACAGCTCAGGAGACAACAGCTCAGGCCAGGGTACAAACCAAATACGTATTTTACATGAGACCTTCTTTCATCCAAGTTAATGGATATTAAAATCTCTGGCTGCAAGCGTGCCTTAATACAGAGGGCCTATGTTTTACATCACTCTGCACCTTCACTGTACAAGTGTAACACACATGCCCAGGGTTCTGAGCAGCTGGCTGGCTCGGTGCTCATGCAGGACTGACTCCTACCGAGGGCGGCTAGCTTGCTCTGCTAGGGGCTGAAAATATTTGAGCCCCTAAATGTCATTTCAAAAATGTGTGCCAGAGTTACCGAGGGGAGCAGGTAGGGCCTGTGAGACCTGAGCTCGCGTGAAGCAGGGACACTGTGAAAGCAGAGGCAGCCCTGGCTTCAGGCTGATCCGGCCAGTTGCTAACCAATGGGTTATCAGCAAAGAGAACAAGAAGAAGAACAAAGGGGTGAGGTTGGTTGCCTGTTTTATAAACAACAGCAACAAAGAACGAACAACAGTTCTCCAGGTAGTGTTAGTACCCTCCTAATGTCACAGTCAAGGACTGTGGGAATTGCCTTTTTTTGATCTTTAAAATCTAAGTCTCCTTAAGTGTCCAATGGAATCAACGAACCCTCAGAACGACCACTTCTTAACTTAAAATAAAGGTAATAATAGCTGTTGAATAGTTTTCTCATGAGGATTAAATGAGACAATACATATAAATACCTGGCATAATGCCTGACATGTGGTAGATGCACAGTAACTGACAGGGTTCTTTCTCAATATATCACTACTTGAGAAAAATAACTAAGGAAAACCCAATAATGCAAGGTAGCGATGTCCTTAAATGCAAAGGAAAATATGTAGCTGCATCCTTCCATACAGATGTGGATAGATGGATGGATGGATAGATGGATGGATAGGTAGGTAGATGGATAGATGGATGGATGGGTAGGTAGGTAGGTAGGGAGCTAAGTAGGTAGAGGACAGGTAGACGTGTAAATATAATTTATGGTACTGAGAGGATACCAATAAAACTACATTCTAGTTTATCTTTTATCACACGAGTCGATAACAATCTCTAATAACGTTTAGGGTGACTAAATTCAGCTACTCACAGATGTTCCAATGCATCCAAACCAGTGAAGGCTTTTTTGGTAATAGATCGAATCCGGTTTCCCTGGAGGATTCTAGAAAAAAAAGAAAATTACATTGGAACAGTTAAAAAGCCATCCTGAGGTGGAATTCTCATGAAAAGCACTGCTTTTTAAATCCTTTGTGAATCATTTTATTTCCTTCAATTAAACGATACATCCTGTAAAAACATACCCATGCCGTCCATTTCAGTCATATAGTGCAGCATGGTTTTCAAAGCATTCAACAGAGAACACAGCAAAAATAGGTATTCGATAAATTCCTCTGATGGCTAAACTAAGGCACTGATCTTCAGTCTTTTTAGGGGGAGGAAGAAACTTTATTCCAAGAAAGCTGTCTCAGAACTCTAAGAAACAGGCAGATCATGGTGGAGACTCTCTCCTTGCCCTCCCTCCCCTCCACAGGAGTTTAGGGCCATGTGTAAGTCAATTGGAAGACCAGAATCCAGTCATCTACGAGGCCATTTTATGGCTAATATAAGCATATTTTTACCTTATATTGCTTGAACCCTACTGCAGTATTATCAGCGGACACTGGATCACCTCATTTAATAATTCCTCTGAGCAGAAGGCAACATCGAAAGTTTCAGAATGTTGAACTTAGTAGGTACACTAACTTTACAAAATGATAATCCCAACAGTCTAAGCACTCAGAACAATTTAAAATTCTCTCGCTATTAAAATAAGCTTAACCTAACCAAAGTGTTGCAGAAAACCACTGTACCCCAGGGAGAAAAGCCATCCTCCTAGACAACAGCTCTCATTTGGGGAAATGACAAAGGGTAGCACCCAGATTAAGCACCTATTTCTAAACTCTTCAAGACATCAACTTGTGGGACTGACTCCAATGACAAAACAAAACGTTTAGGTCAGGGAGTGAGGCCATACTCACAGCCGCCTCAGTTTGTCGAGCCCAGAGAAAGCACCGTTCATGTCTTCAATAGTCCAGGAGATTTCATTGTTCTTCAGGTCCCTAATTAAGAAGAGGAATGTTACTGAAACTAGTACCAGGTACCGAACACAAGACACAAGCCTTCTCTTTAGAGATACGCTCAGAAGTCTAAGATCACCACCCAGGTGGCATATAATTTGTAATAAATTCCTCCTAATTCCCCACATCGTCTCCACCCCTTTCAAAAGAATAGAAAACTCTTTCTCTCTCCAACATACCTCTTACACCCTTGCCCTCCTCCCCCCATAACATTTCAAGGTTTTACCCCAAATCAGGACAGTTGACTCTGGCCCTATTAATTCCTCTATCAACATGACTAAATTCTGAAAGACTTGAATAGTCTGAAAAGTACGTTAAACTTTAAAACCACTGCTCCAACCACACAAGCAGGAGTTGGCCAAAGCATACAGCATGTCCTTCAATTATGTAATGCTTCAAATAGGGAACGGAGCAAAAGTTTCTGACAGTGCAGAAATCAAGGGCCCACTGCACAATATTAAAACGAACATTGGAGAGATTTCTCCAAGGTCAATTAATCCAATTCCCTCTTCTTTCTCAGGACAGAGATCAAGTCTGGATATAACCAGTACGATCAACGGCCATCTTCCTCTGCTGCCCTTTGTATATCATTTCACTTGGGGTAATTTTTAATCTGCATTTTAGAAAGAAAAATTAGTGGATTTGAAACTGCTTCCCTCTTGAGCAGTTACCAACTTCCTGGAGATCCTGAGAAGGCCAACTGTAATCACCCAAACAATCTGATCACTGTCCTTTGTAATCCCTTTAAGAAACACATATGGATGAAATGGACGGATTTTAATCAAACTGATCTGGGAAAGATTAAGACACTACTTCTGAGGCTGCACACATTTCCTTCACAACAAAGGAAATCTGCTGGGAGAAAAGTGGGCACATTTAGGAACCAATTAGGTTCATGGATGGGGAGAAAAATGTGTAACTTACAAAGTCTTTAAACTGGAAAGGCCCCGGAAGGCACAATCAGCGATGTAGCTCACTTTGTTGTTTCCGATGTGCAGTGTATTTAGTAAGCTCAGGCCCAGGAAGCTAGAATCATCCAACCTCGACAAGTGATTGAAAGTTAGGTCCCTGTAAAGAAAAAAGGAACAAAAAACAAATAACAGCTTTTATTTTACAGTGCAACATACTGGTTTGTTTTCCAAAAAACAGATAATATATGTAAACCACAATAATCCTTATTTTAAGACTGCCTTCTTAATAACACACAGGTAAACATTACTAATCCTGGTAATTAAATAAAAAACATTCTCTTTCTTTGAAAATAACCGTCATTGCTTTAGCCCATGTGCCACAGACCTGAAACAGCAGAGCTGGCTTCAACTTATCACAATAAAAATATGACTGGGTTGCATGTGAAAAGAGCTGTCACCTTGGAAACTTTGTTATGAAAATTTCACAGATCAGTGGCAAGAAGCTCATGCTCTGGCATGATCGCAGCTCTCAAACCTGAAGAGAAGAAAGGCAACTCACAGCTCACTGAGTTTCTGGCAGAACTCCCAGGCATCGGGGCTGATCCTGCTGATGGCATTTTGGCTGAGATGAAGCTCCTGCAGCATCAGCAGGCCGTAAAGCCAGCCCTTGGTAACCTCCGTCAGGTTGTTATGGTCCAGCTGCCTACATTTACCATAAGAAATAAAAGCAGGATCAAAAGTTCACTATCCCTTCTCTTCAAAGGGGACACCTGATTACAACCTACTCCATGTTCCCATTGTGACTGCTTAGCTTTTGTTACAGAAAGACATCAGCAAAAAAATACCAGGTGCTTATAAATTCTCAGTCACATTAAATAATGAAATAAAACTAAATATTAAATTATAAATAAGATGGTAAATGATGCGATTTTAACATAGAATTTCAAATAAAAGCTATTGAATGTTCACTGAGCCATCTACGATCATACGACCTGAGCAGGAACTGGGAGAACCCAACTTACAAGATTTCCATGTTGCTCAGCCCCCAAAAAGCACCATCCATCAGCTTTGTCACTCCATTTCTTTGCATTTTCAGAGACTTCAGAGCACCAAGCCCTTGGAACGTGAGTCCATCTATATTTTTAATCTTGTTTCGGTTCAGCTCCCTGCATTGAAAATTACAGTTAAACGGTCAGCTTATATGACAAATTCTGGAGGTGGTAATAAAATGTGACATTACTATAATATAGTTAAACCAGCCAGTGTTAAATTACACAGAATGTTTTGAATTTCTAAACTTTTTTACTGAGAAGCATTTCGATTTATTAGCAGTGTAAATTTCCTTCTGCAAAGTGTGACGTATTTTTGGAATAATAAAATATTGAAACCACACTTTAATTTCTAAACTGGTGTCCATCAGTATAGAAGCAAATGAATTAATATTTGTTTTTAAATTATCCAGCATGAGAATAGTGAAAGTCCTGTTAAAACATGAGGTCTATTTAAGAGTAGGGCTGTCAAGTTTATCCTGTTCCAGCTGCTTACAAAAGGTGGTTCCTCCTTTTCACAATCTTATGTTTAATACTTTCTCTTTAAGGCAGTCGTTCTCAACCTTGGTTGCACACTGGAATCACCTGGGGCATTTTAAAAATTACTGAAGCCTGGCTCTTACCCCCAGAAGGTCTAATATAATTGCTCTAGGGTGTGGCCTGGGCACTGGGATTTTTGAAAGCTCCCCAAGTGTCTGTAATGTGCAGCTGAGGTTGAAAACCACCATACTGCAGGAGCCTGTTCACAGATCATTCTACCATTATTAACGAGACAGTTCTTTACAGCCACTTAAGCTATCAGAGCCTCCTGGAGTTGTCAGTATTATTCTCATAAACCACAGCTGTTGAGAGTCCCCATAATTTCTTCAGTGCCACAATGACGCCTTTGTACGGAGACCGTTCAATGATTACACTGTTGACTCTTTCAGTAACAATCCAACGTGCCTCGTCAGGCAGGAGCCTGCACTAGGTGACTTTCAAAGCTCGTTCTGATTCGGAGATTCCACAACTCCAGCTCTCAAAGGGAAGCCGGCCACGTCCTTGCTTCTAAACTCCTTTTGCCACACTGTAGGTTTTTGGGGACAGACTCCAAATGTTTAGAGGAGGTGAGGAAACATCTAAGAGGGCATTTTACTCACAGGTGCTGCAGCTGGGGCAGTCTAAACATCTTGGGTGGGATGGCTGCGATTCGGTTCCTGTTCAGCTTCAACACCAGGAGCGTGTTGGCCAAATTATCAAAATACCCAGGTTCCATGGACGTGACTCGGTTGCTGTTGATATACCTGTTGGAAGTTTAAAGATGAGCGTCTCTTTCTGGTTTCCTTGGAAGTGGAAGCGCGTGCATTTTCTGTATTATAAAGAATCTCCAGAGAACCTATCATTTGTAACGATGGACACCTAAAATAATTACTCTTTAGATCCTTGTGGACCAATACTGTATGATCCACACATACTGGAATATTTGAAGGTGACAAACATTTGTTAGAGATACGTATCCACTTTTTATGAAATTCATTTATTAATGAAACACAACTGGCTTAATTTTGATTACTTTTCAAGAAGATGCACTTTTCACCCTATAGTTTTTCTACCAAAGGATGTCTAATTTTTTTTAATTCAAAAGTGTAAGAATAAAATGAAGACTGTAGTTATTCAGGCTTACAGCAAATTACAAGTCAGTAAGATAAGAAAGTCACATTTTTGATCCATCAGCAGTAAAACAGGCAGAGTTTGATATATCTTAAAGTTGATTTTTCTTATTATAACATGGTATTTTCAGCATAGGTGAAAATTTTTGTTAAAGAAAACCTGACTTACAGATATTTGAGTTGTAAAGGTGGAAACGCAGTTTTAAGCTCTGAAATATTATTGCTGCTCAGGTCCAAAGTTTCGAGGGATTGAAATTGTTTCAGATGTTCAGGTAATATTTCGACAATCCTGTTTCCAGCTCTGGAATTGAAGGATAGCACAGGTCACAACAGGGTTCATGGTACAACAATCCAAAACATGAAAAATATTTTCTATTCCTCACTTGTTCTTCAGAAATACGGAAAACTGATTGCTCTAAACAGTACTTTTAAAAGTTAAATAGCAACTCTTTACTCACTTTGATTTTGCATTAAATAGTAAATAATTAGAATATGTGAAAAATATTCCTACATAAATATGGGTGTGTTGAACAGCTGTGGTTATTATAAACACTATGCACTTAAACGGTTTGATTTTTCTTTCTGTGATTTTGTTAACAGTCCCTCTTCTTTATCATTTTATTGAATAGTATGTGAAATGCCTAGTGCCAAGTTGGCATTCCAGGCACTGATGTGTAACTTCCCTATTCCTTCTTCTTGATTCCTAATCTATTTCTAATTCTTCTCTTGAAAAGTAACCACACTACAGGTGCCAATGAACTCAACATACTCATCAGATCGGGGCTTTTTTAAAGTAATGCTTTTTCTTTAAGAAATACGCAAATATTTCTTTCAGAAACAGAAAGTGCCAATGCATCGCCATAGTCTTCAAAACCAGTGGATACTCTCCAGGGCTCTGAACGTTATAAAAGTATTACATAAGAGCAGCCCAGTCTAAATAACCCCAGGGGAAACCAGATTTTAATAATTTTGACATTAACAGTCAAACACCAGACCATGATGTCCAACATTGTAGCCACATGTGGCTCTTTAAATTTAAATTAATTAAAATTAAGTTCCCGAGTCACAGTAGCTATATTTCAGGTTCTTAATAGCCACATACGCCTCATGGCTGTCAAACGGGACAGTGCACATACAGAACATGTCCGCCATTGTGGAAGTCCTATTGGTGAGCACTCCACTAGACCACAAAGGAAAAAACAAAAAAGGGGCCATGTCAAGGTCCTTAAAAGGTCATCAATACAACAGCTTCCAAGGGGAAATTCAGCATTAAATGAGCATCTTGCTAGCAAACAGGAATTAAACTGATATTAGTTTAATGTAGCTAACCTTCATTTAATGAGAAAACTTAGAAAATAAATATATCTCCTACGTGTTTCCTTCCCTACCAATGTGGATTTCTATGGTGCGTTGAGTTTCTCCAGCTCGTCTGCCTTATGATAACTCTCAGGCCTCTCACCATCTCAGAGGTTCCTGAGTTAGGTACACTCTTAGGCTTTTCACAAAATCCTGTGCTGCATCCTGACACAGCACCCACCCTGGCAGTCTTCCCGCCACACTGGGAGCCCCTTCCAAGCAGGGAGAGGTCTCCGCCCCTCTGGCTCAGAATCTGTGTGGAATCTAATCAAGTTGAGGACAGATTAGACCCCAAGCCCTGTGCCCAGCATTTTTCCTAGATTATGCCATTTACTCAAGGACACTTCTCTGGTGTAGATAGTACAAAACACCAGGAAACTAGGGCTTCTAACCAAATGAGTCCAAGCATTCCCAAGCCACCTCGCAGAGTACCCATTTGGTCCCAAAGCAATCCATGAAGGCTGTTTCACAGCATTCCGTTTCAAACATACTTTGGAAATTAAGTTCTTCCGTGGAGATGCACCTCCAGAAAGGCCTGCCACCTCCCGCTCTTGCAAGAACGCTGACCTTCTGGTTTCACACCAGCGTGGGAATACACAGTGGCTCACTGAGCCGTCAATATGCCAACACTAAGGGCGCCCTGGAAACAGGGTCCCCCAGTCTGTGCTCACACCCCAGGTAGATAAAGAGGGACCCTTAGGGCTTTGCACGTGTTTGGGATCCACCAGAGTAGAAGACTGACTTCCTAAACGTGTGCAAACGTCAGGCGCTGCTTTCCCCACAAGAACGAACAATGAGTGGAGAAAACAGGCTGTACGTTTTCTATTGAAACAACAACAAACTAACACAACTTCTCAAAATATTAAAAGCCTCCACAGGTTACTTTTAAGGACCATGGGGAATCATCTTTTTTGATGCAAATCATCCAAGAACCTTAACCCCATTTTTTGAAGTAATCCTACACAAGGTAACAAGCATAGGCAATATATATCTTAAGAGGCAAATTTGTCTGTGATAATAGTAAGGCTAAAAAAACAAAAAAGGGTTAGCAATCCTATGTGCAAGTCACAAATATCAAGCCCCTCAGATTCCCATAAAGCCTTACAGACTTTGTTTAGAGTCAAGTCAGCCATGACCTCTGATTGTGACCATTTCCCACATCTGGATCCGCCAGTGTCTAAACTCCTTGATCTAGCTGTGAGGTACAGGGTAATGCAAGTGAGACAATTAGTCAATTTCTAGGTCCCGGAGATGGATTTAGTCCCAGAGACAAGCCACAAGGCCTTAGGGTCAGGGTGTGTGGGTTAAACAAAACCACACTCTCGGGGACAAAAATGTTCTCTTAACTACATAACCCAAATGTGTGCATTACCAGGATGTCCTCCCACAGACAGCAGAGTAACCCTGAAGTACCCCCCTCTCCAGCCCCCGCCCCCCGGCCCTAGCCACTACCTCCCATCAAACTCGGCATCTGGTTTGGGCCCCAAGGCTGTCTGGGGCGAGTACAGCTACACTTACATTTAACAACAACAAAAGAAAACGCTCAGCTATAGGTTTTGCAATAAATGGAGCAAATTGGTTTTTTGTGAGAGGGAGCCGGAGACCCACAGGTGTCTATCACGTTGGTCAAATAAGGCTACGAGTTAGATTACAGGCCATACAATCTTTGGTTTATATATTCGTTTGTTTATAAGGTAATTATGAACAAGGTATTAAAACTGCCAATTACTTGAGTGACGAATAAAATTTTCCTTGCAGTTAAAGTACGCTCCAGCCAAAGCCAGCAATTTCCTGAACTGCACACCTCCTAAATTGCAGTGTGAAAGTGCTCAGTTAGCGATGGAGCGTGGACACTGCCGTCTTTGTGAGCAATGTTTCCCAGCACAAAAATCCCTTACAACTGCCAGGAGAACAGTCCCTGTATCACAAAATGGTAACTCTGTCCTAATGGAAGTGAATTAAACCCAATACCAGTCTCATATTAGCTCTCAGACTAAACTAGCAGATAACCACCTGATACATACCAGTTTAAAAAAATTTGCTTTATATCAAAAGCAAACCCTTTAAAGAAGGGTTAAAAATAAAAGGATACAACTACATTAATAATTAGATAAGACAATCTTTTTAATCACCTAAAACCCTCAAAATAAACATATTTCATAACAGAATGGGTCATAAATAGCTACTTCTAGGAGACAAAGGTTCAATTCAACTCTAGCTTTCATTTTTCTCCAAATATGGATAAATGCCAAAATTGATGAATACATTAAAAGTATTGCACTTAATTAATGGTTTTGGCAGGAAATGTGCAATGCTTTAAAAAACAAAACTGTGTGAATACTTTTTTCCGTTAAACTTAAGTTAATGTGGAAAGGCCATCTTTCCATTGTTCAAACATCACAATATGGTACTGTATGTACTGGAAGGCGTTTCAGCCTTGTGCAAATCAATCTTAAGGACTACGAATATTTTGGTCATCTATGTTTGTTGACAGTACAAGGTGTTCCACGGTCAAATCATTGCTGAGGTCAAGCATAATTAGTCCCTTGTGGACTTGTCCCCAGGAGCTTGGTCAGTAGGAATGAAGATGGTTGCCCCAGGTTTCTATGAGGCCACAGAAAAAACAGGATTCCCAGGTATTTCAGCTTTGGCTTCTCAGGCCCAACAATAATGGTTTCACTTGGTTGCCAACTTCACTCTTCAGCCTTCTTTGCCAAATACCTTTAAAATGCAGCAGCAAACATGACTTGCCATTTCCGTACAACAATATTTGCTCTTTAGAGTGCTGAAGATCTAACAATGAACAAGAAGGATGTGGTCCCTGACCTCACAGAGCTTAAATTCTAGTGGAGGAGAACCAGCCGGCAAATGGGAGCGGTCCCCAGAGTGTGAAGATAGCGTAGAGCTGGGAGGAGATGAGAGCAGGTCAAGTGGGGCCCTGTAAACCACGTTAGGCATCTGGGCTTTATCTCAAGATTAAGTAAGGGGAGGAGGATGGAGGATTTCAAATGGTGGGGTGACTGTAGAGATGTGCATCTTAGAAAGGCTGCGGCAGTGAGGGGAAAGACTGGGAAGGGGGCAGGCAAGACCAGGTGCAGGAGCATCTGGGAGGCACAGAGGACAGACGATGGTGCGTCGGGGTAATGGTGACCATCTGCCTAGATGCCCACTTTGGGGTGAAGCACCACTCTTCTTCTGGTTTCCCAGGGCGCACACTGTGCTCTTCTCCTCCCAATATACAAGCTCAGTTTCCAGCTCTGCAGCCTCTGGGGACCCAGTTCAGCACTACTGGAGTCCCATTCCCTCTGTCACCACTGTGCTGTGTGTCGCTGGTACAGGAGGCCTTCCAAAGCGCGGAGCGCACACTAGGGTTCCCTCTTGCTCAGGAGTGAGATGGCTCCTGAGAACAGCTCAGTACTGACGATTTCATGTGTCTGTAACCAGCAGGAAAATGGACAAATGTGTTATTCCCATATACAAGAAATGTGCTTGTTTGTTCTGATACTCTGAACACCTGCACTAAATGTAAACCTGGGCTAAATTAATAATTTATGAGGTTAGTGACAGGACTGCTTGCTATGACAACGAGCGGTTCCACTTTTTGACTCACTGTGATCTCCAGAAAGCCTGAGAGTCTCAAAAGAACTTCATGCACTCTTATGTGGATATATAAATGGTCTTAGTTTATTTCCAGAGTCTGGAAGGAGAGTCACAGAGTGAAATATTCTTTGTTAGTGAGGAACCAGAATATCAGGTTTTTTCACACTGGAATTCCTGAACCAATTAAACTGCAGCTTCTTGAAGAATAAGAAATACCTGTCAATAGTTTGCACTGTCTTCTACTTGTTGCACAAGATAACAGGTAGCTTAAGGCTTTGCAGCTGTGATGTGTAAAGACATGCAATCTTGGCTACTTAGAGAAGGAATGTGCATGTGGCATTTTCC